GCAACTGACAGCATCGGTCTGTAGGCTTGGAGCTGGGAGGTTCCTTAGAGCTCTGCTGGCCCAGTGTATTCATTTTACACTGGAGAAAGCTGAAGCCCAGAAAGGCCAGGAGATTCCTGAGCTCCTCCAGCTAATAAGCTCAGAGCCAGGATTAAAACTCGTATCCTCTTGACTGCTGAGGCAGGCCTCTTCCCACTTTGTCCCGCTGCCTCTCCAGGCTTAAACCTACCTCCCAGAGGGGCCTCAGTTGCTTGATTCAGTGGAGGTACGGTTTTATTGTTGGCAGCCACGCCAGGGGAGACCTCTGCCAAGGCCAACCTGTAGCCTCAGGCACAATGACTCTGGCTCCCAAGGTGCTGAGGTGGGTCTGGATGGAGGGACAAAAGTCTCTCCTGAGGAGCCTTCCCGGTCCATACTGGCATCTCGGGGCAGTCCTGGATCATGCTTCCCCAGGGCTCTGCGGAGGGGACAGGGAAGGGGGGCACTTCCAGTGCGTTCTGCTCTTGGTTCTGGCTGGAGCAGCAATAGCTGTGGACCCTCCCTTCTCCCACCAAGGACCTTAGCCCCCCAGAAGGGTCCTGGTGATCCCTTACCAGGGTGACCCCTGCATGTCTGGAGCTGTGATGGCTGCTATGACTCATGGGGGAAGGAGGGAGGGAGGGTGGGGCAGAGATGTGGGCGACTGAGAGCACTTTCTCTTTTTTTCTTTTCCTCCCCCTCTCTCTGTCTCCCTCTCCTCTTTCTTCCTCTCTTTCCCCCCCTCCCTCTCCCTCACCCTTTCCACTCCCTTTCCCCCTCCTCCTTTAGCGACTGGCTCTGCACCAGGATCCTGAATTGAGAAAAGGGTCCAAGAGTGTTTGTGTGCACTGGGCAGGAGCCCCTGAGTCCCTCAGCAGGTCCCAGCTCTGTGCAGAGGCATTCAGCTGCGGGCGTGTTCTGGGCTCCTTGACCTCGGGGTCTGGCTCTGTCAGCCTGCTGTTTGGGTCCCGTCACTCTCTGTCTCTGACCATCTGTTTCTTCTCCCTCTGTTCTTACTCTCTTCTCTTTTCTCTTCTCTTCTCTTCTCTTCTCTTCTCTTCTCTTCTCTTCTCTTCTCTTCTCTTCTCTTCTCTTCTCTTCTCTTCTCTTCTCTTCTCTTCTCTTCCCTTCTCTGTCTGTCTCTCTCTCCCCTCTCTCCCCTCTCTCTGTCTCTCTTTCCCTCATCTCTCTTTCTCATCTCTCTCTTTCTCCCTCTCTTCCCTCTCTCTGTCTCTCATCTCTCGCCGTGTCTCTCTGTCTCTCTCCCCTCTCTCATCTCTCTCTCTCTTTCTTCCCCCTCTCTCATCTCTTTTTGTCTCTCTCTTTCTCATCTCTCGCTCTCTGTCTCTCTCTCTCTTCCCTCTCTCTGTCTCTCCATCTCTCTCTCTCTGTCTCTCTACCCCCTCTTGTCTCTCTCTGTCTCTCTCTCTCATCTCTCTTTCTCATCTCTCTCTGTCTCTCTCTCTTTCTCTCTCTGTCCCTTTCCTTCTTCCCTCCACCCTGTCTCTCTCCTCCTGCCTTCTTGCCAGCCAAGAGAGTGCCTGGAACCTTCTTAATCTACCTGGGCAGGTCACCCAGTCCCCTAGTGGGAACAGTCAGCTCCCCTTCCACCTGTCAATCACTTGGGCGCGCGCGCGCGCGCGTGTGTGTGTGTGTGTGTGGTGTGTGTGTGTGTGTGTGTGTGTGTGTCTTTCTTTTCTCTATCCATTGCCATCGGGGATGCACTTGACATAGCCGTGCAATACTGCTCAGGAATCAGGGTTCTGAGATAGTGGGCTTAGGTTCAGATGCCGGGCTCTGCTGCTGAGTCTGCGTGGGACCTTCTGTTGGTTCCTTCTCTTCTCTGGACCTCTCCCCAATGAGGGGATTGGCCTCTGTAACCTTTCAGGACCTTTAATCACGATCAGCTGTAATGGAGTGATGGGGGCTTTACTAAGGTGTTGTCCCATTGGACAGAGGGCTCGCAGTGGCCCTGGGATGCAGGCAGGGGACTGGAGGAAGTTTGGCAGAGTTGAAGTGGCTTTCCTAGGCTCACAAATGCTAGTCAGAGGATTTTGTGGGAGATCTGAGAGCCTCCAGTTTGAATCCAGATCCTCCAACTCCAAATTCAATGCCTGGCTCTTTCTTTTTTAAAATCAATTTTTATTTTCATCTTTTGTCTTCCCATCATCAGCATTTCTTAATATAACCTTCCCCCTCTTCCCAGGGAACCATTTCCTGTAAGAAAGAATAAATAAAGAGTAAACCCAACAACACATTGAAAAATTCTGCACTTACTAGCCGTGTGACCCTGGGCAAGTCACTTAACCTCATTGCCTCACCAAAAAAGAAAAAAAAAGAAAAATTCTGACATTGTATGTGGTCTCCCACACCTGGAGTCCCCCATCTCTTCAAAGAATTAGGGTGATGCTCTTGCCACACATGCTGCCATAGCTGCCGCCTGTTAGGTGCCCAGGATTAGGTGATATTGGGTCTGTAAGGGGAAAGACAGTATCTTTTCCCTCAAGGAGAAGGGTTTTTTTAAAAAACATGATTTTATGCTATTATTTGCATACCATAATAAACTCTGTCTTAGGGAACCCCCTCTGGCCCCATACAGTGATGGATACTTGAACTTGTCTCAGTAAACGTCTGTCTTTTGATTAATGGTGTAGTGGAAAGAAATCCTGGCTCTGCTACTTCTCTGACCGTGGGCAAGTCACTTCCACTGAGGCCTCAGTTTCCTCCTTTGTGAAATGAGGGAGTCAGACCAGATGGCCTCGGAGGTGTCTTCTGGCTCTAAAGCCGGGATCTGATTTTTGAGTCCAAGCCTTTCATTTTACAGATGTGGAAGTTGAGGCCCAGAGAGAAGGTCGCAGAATGGTGAGGTGGCGATGCTCCTTGGTGCTCTGGGTCTTGCCTAGGTATCATTGAGGCACTTCCTTCAGCTAGTGGCTTATCTTGTTTAGGACCTGAGGGAGGCTTTGACTGGTCGTCTCAGTGGGGATGGGGGTAGGAGGCACTGACTCATTGCCCAGGTCAGGAAGGCTGCTAGAGTCTGCCTCGCTGCATCCCTCAGTCTCATGCTGCTGCCTTGTAGGTTTGGAGAGTGGCTCCCTGGCTTGGGGATCGCCTCAAAGAGCCTGTCTCTGTGTCCCTGGCCCCTGGGAAATTCAGGCCAACTATGGGTCATCCCTAGTCCAAAGAGCTTAGCCTGCTTAGCCTGGATCACTATTTGTCAGTGCTGCCAGTGCCTCAAAGCAGCCCCGATCAAGAGCTGGAAGGCCACTGAGCCTGGCCTCCTCATTTCACAGAAGAGGAAACTGAGACCCAGAATGAAGCGATGTAGAGTCACATGTTTAGAGCTAGAAAGAACCTTGGATGGAAACCAAGATGGAGGGAGGCTTAATGTCTTGCTCATGGTCACCCAGCTAGTAAGTGTTGGCAGCAGAATTCGAACTTAGGTCTTATTGACACCAAGTCCAGTGTTCTAGCCATGGAGCCACCCATCTGCCTCCAATCAAACCTAGATTGAACCTCTGGGACTTTTTTTTTTTAGTAAATAGTAATTTATTTTTTCCAATTATATGTAAAGATAGTTTTCAGCATTCATTTTTTGTAAGATTTTGAGTTCCAGCTTTTTTTCCCTTCCTCCCTTCCCCCCTCCCAAGATGGCAAGCAATCTGATCTAGGTTATACATGTGCAATCATGTTAAACATATTTCCACATTACTCATATTGTGAAAGAAGAAACAGAACAAAAGGGAAAAGCTGTGAAAAACAAAAAAAAAAAAAAAAATGAAAACAGTGTTCTTCGAGCTGCATTCAGACTCCACAGTTCTTTCTCTGGATGTAGATAGCATTTTGCGTCATGAGCCTTTTGGAATTGTCTTGGGTGGGACTTCTGAATAATGACCCAGATCCTGGGGTTAGGAGGGCAGAACCAATACTGTCCTCAGCCCAGTAGGAATCTTCCTTGGTGTTGATAGGATATGTCCCTGAACAGCCTTGAACTGAGAGGTTATCCTGTATCTGCACTGGTCATGGGAAGACGCTATCAATGTAGCTATTTGGACTGGGATGGCCAGCCCTGACGTCTCCTTCTAAGATCAAATGTTAGCTGCCCTCTTTAGTATTTAAAGGAAGCCCTCCACCACTTGGCCCTGACCTACCTACCTTCCTAGCTTTATTATACATGACCCTTCTCTACAAACTCTGATCCGGTCACGCTGGCCTTCTCACTGTTTCTGTCACAAGACACTCCATCACTCGTCTGTATGCCCTGGCACTGCCAACTTTTGCCATGCCTGGAATGCTCTCCTTTCCCATTGACTCTCGGAATCCTTGAATTCCTTCACCTTCCATCTGAAGGCTTTCTTGATTCCACCCAATTGCTACTGCCCTCTCTCCAAATTACCTTGTGTTCATTATATATGTTTATTAAATATACATATATGTACATGTATCCAAATCTATACTATACTATTTACACTATACTAATATACTATCTATACTATACTATGTTACATATAATATAATCATATATGATATATTTTATATATTATACTTATACAGGTACATGCTTGTCTCCCTTCTTCCCTCTTGGAATGTAAGCTCCTTGAAGGCAGGGACTGATTCACTTTTATCTTCCTATCCTGGGCATGTAGCACTATGCCTAGCACATGGTGGATGCTTAATACAAGCTTTATGAGTGACTGGCTGATTGACTGAAGACATCTTCTTCTTGGGGGCAGTTGCAGAAAAGTCCAGAAAATAATAATTCCCATTTCTATAGCATGCTAAGGGTTGCAAAAAACAAAATGGAAAACCTTTGCAACCAGCCCGTAGTTCGGGCATTGTACCCATTTTACAGATAGGGAAACTGAGTCTCTGTGAGGGAAGGTGACAGCCAGTAAATGTCTGAGAGGAGTGATCTGTTGGCTTTAAGTCCAACATTTTATTCCGCCACAAGTGCTAACCTCATTATCAATTTTTTCTTACAGGCTGAGGAGGTGGGACGGAGATTCCTGAAGACGGAGTGAGAGAGCAAAGAGGAAGAGCAAGAGTAGAAGGAGGGGCGGGTTCCTGGCAAGGCTTTCGCTCCCAAATAGATTTCTGTAAAAGGTTGGTAAGCTGGATGAAAGAGCTGGAGAGGGATGCTGTGTGTGCTGATCTGGCGCTGTGCAGTGGGGGGCCTCGAACAGAAAGGGGAGCTCCTTGTCCTAGAGGCACACAGGTTATGTGTGTACTCTACAGGTCCTCATGGGCCTCGGTTTCCTCATCTGTAAAATGATTAGGTTGGACGAGATGGCCTGTGAAGTCCCACAGGGGTAGGGATGGCCACTAGCCCTTCAATTCCATTGATCTAGGGGACTCCAAGAAGAGGCAACTCCTTCTACCAATGCAGGTTGCCACCTTTTCAACTTTTGGTCTTAGTTGCCTAGAGGGTGAAGAGTTTGAGTGACTTGTCCAGGGCCACACAGCCAGTCTGGGTCAAGGGCAGGACTTGAACCCAGATCTTCCTAGAGTTTGGGGCCAGCTGTCATCCATTATACCACCCTGCCTCCTTCAAGACCTCACCCAGTTCTAAATTCTGAGATCCTATTAGCATATCACAATTGTCACATCTCCTGGTGGGGGAGGGGGGGCTCTTGGTCAGTAGAGTTCCTGCATCGGAAGAACAGAAGCTCCCTGAGGGTAGGGACCCTTTCACTTTTGTCTTTGTACTCCCAGCACCTGACGTGGGGCCTTTCACACAGTAGGTGCCTAATAAATGTTTGTCGAATTGAACTGGAACGCTTAGCCAGGGCAGATCCTTGGTCTTGATCACCCTGTGCCCATCTCGTTGATGCTGCAGATGGAGAAGGAAGAAGAAGCCACGAGGGAGCTGCTCTTGCCCAACTGGCAGGGCAGTGGTTCCCACGGCCTAACCATCGAGCAGACAGATGATGGCGTCTTTGTTCAGCAAGTCGTGCAGAATTCCCCTGCGGCACGCACGGGTGTGGTCAAGGAGGGTAAGAGCCGGCTGCTGGCTGCTTCGAGGCAGGGGAATGGGCCAGGAAGAGAAGTGGGGCTCAGGGTGGGCACACTCGAGAGAGAGGGAGAGGTGGCCCCTACCTCGGGGAATTGCCCCCTTCCCCCAGCACCTGCAGCTCTTGGGTTCATTTCTTGTAACTTCTGCTCCAGGGGACCAGATTGTGGGGGCCACCATCTACTTCGACAATCTGCAGTCGGGTGAGGTGACACAGCTTCTGAATACCATGGGGCACCACACGGTGGGCCTGAAGCTGCACCGCAAGGGAGACCGCTCCCCAGAGCCCGGCCAGTCCTGGTCCCACGATAGCGCCTTCACCCAGTGCTCTGAGGTGGTGCTGGTGAGTATCTCTCTGAGCCCTGCCCCCTGAGCTCCCCTGGGCGCCAGGGCCCTGCTCCTCCGTCTCCTTCATCTGTCTGTCTCTCCTCACCCTCTTCTTAGCCCTGCCATGCTCATGTGGTCACTTTGCTGGCCTGTCCTAATCTCAAAGGGTGCCCCATTGGAGCTACAGCTGGTATACCCTTTAATCAATCAACTAATTGATCTATAAGCATTTCTCAAGCAGCTCTTACTAGGTGCTAGTGCTTGCTGGGGTTAGAATGACTACAGTGAGAGTCCCTGCCCTCAGGACGCTTATATTCTATTAGAAGAGGCAATACACACATCCATAGATGTATCTGAAACACACCCAGCTCGGGAGAGACTCATCACCTGTTGGCCGGAAGCCTCGTGCTTCTGGTGACAAGTCTCTCCTACACAAGGTCGGTCATTTAGTTGTTGGTTCCATATTGGTCCCGTGAGGATCTCCAGTGGTCATCCACTATCCCACAGACGGCCTGCCACTTGTGATCTACTTGTCTGGATGTTTTGGGGAGCTGTGGTTTCATCCATGTGGGGCCCATCCCGCAGCACAGATCTTGGCCCTTCTCAGCGTGGGAAGCGGTCTTCAGGAGTTACTTGGGCTGAGAGGTCCCCTGTGGCCAAAGCTGGCTGTCTGAGCTTAGCTGGGTTAATTAGTTAACAAGCATGAATTAAGCCCCTACTATGTGGCAGGCATTGGGCTTTCAAAGAAAGGCAGCCCGAAAATAAAAACCAAACCCCCAATGCCCCCAACGCTCCCAAAGCAAAAAACCTTGGCATCCCGGGACCCACGTTTGATGCCTTTCCAGCGTGCACTTGCTGGAGCTTGGGCTCTGTGGGCACAGTCTTTGAGAAGCCAGGGTGTCTGTCAGCCAGCATGGTGCAGGAGAGGAGAAATGGGGGACATGAGGTCACATTCAGCAGCCAGCCAGTCCCTCAACAATGTACGGACACTTTTGCACTCTCCTCGTAAAGTGAAGATTTAGCTATAAAAATGCAAATTGCGACATGACTTGTCCCCTAGCCCAGACTAAGCAGACCTCTCTTGGCATTTGGCTGGGATAGGCCTGTCAGTGTCTTCGGTTCTGGCCAGATTTGGTCAGCTGACTAGAATTTCCTCATGTTTTTGGCCTGTTGGTGGTGGACATTGGTTAGATTGCACAGCGATGTGAGTTTCCTTTTCTCTCGGACACCACCTCTTCTCCCTGGGTTCTTTCCCAGTTTGCTCTTCTCTTTCCACATCAGGGTCTGCCCTGGGCTCCCGTTTCTTCCCAGCAGCCCCATCTAGCCCAGCCTCTGCTCTGTCCCCTGGAGGATCTCCCCACGGGGCTCTGCGGGGCTCCGTGAGGGGCCATGCTTCCAGAGGTCAGGAAACCAGGTGGTTGGCTGGCCTCTGGTTGGGAGTCAGGCTCAGCTGCAACCTTTGCCGCGGTGTCTCTTTCTGCAGAGCGGGGGTGATGAGGACTACCAGCGGATCTACATGACAAAAATCAAGCCTCGACTGAAGTCGGAGGACGGGGCAGAAGGCAGCGAGCTTGGGGAGACCCAGAGCCGCACCATCACAGTGACCAGAAAGGTCACAGCCTACACCGTGGATGTGACGGGCCGAGAGGGGGCCAGGGAGATTGACATCAACAGCCCCGAGTTCAAGATCAAGATCCCAAGGCACGAGCTGACAGAAGTCTCTACGACGGACGTGGAGACCGAGCGTGGGAAGACCGTGATTCGGCTGCCGCCGAGCCCTGGGATGGCCGTTCAGACCACAGGCTACAGTGTTGATTTTAGGGCGACTGGACCCGAGCTCCAAGGGCTTGAAGCCGCTGGTGCTGGCCACTCCAAGGTCCAGGTGACCACACCTGGGATCCAGCTGCAAGGCTTGGGTGCTGGCGCTAGTGGTAGGGCCTGAAGGTGGAAGGAAAGCCAGAAGTCTCTGTTCATACCAACGTCCCTGCTTCTGTTGGCTTAGGAGGCAAAGGAGGATCTGTCACTGGCCCTGGGGTCCGGGTTCCAGGAGTGGAAGTTTCATCTTCCCTCGGAGGCGGGACTGTTGATCTCCAGCGCCCATCCATAGATAACATAAACATTCCCACCATGAAGTTACCCAAGTTTGGCTTCCCAGCAGCAGGACCTGAGATCCAGGGCCCAGAGGCAGGCCTGGGCATCTGCTCACCAGGCATCTCTGTGGGGCCTGGGGGTGATGGTTCCGGTTTGGCAGTGAGCGGAAATGTCCAGGGTCCTAAACTGGAAGTCACAGCTCCATCTGTCCATGTTGAGGGAGTCAAAGGGAAGCTGAAGGGTCCTACAATCACCACCCCATCGTTGGAGGGCGACCTTGGCCCAAAAGGCATCGTGCTTCCAGGTGCTGGAGGCTTGGATGTCTCCGCATCCAAAGGACACGTTGGCATCAAAGGCCCTGCTGTGGAACTTGGAGCTCCAGAAATGGATCCTCATGGGGCCAGTGGAAAACTGAAGATGCCTCAGATGAAAGTCCCCAAGTTTTCTGTGTCTGGTTCCAAAGGGGAAGGAGCTGCTGTGGACATAACATTGCCCGAGGGAGAAGTGAACCTTCCCAGTGTCACTGGAAATGTCAGCTTGCCAGAAGTATCCATCAGTGGGCCCGAGGGGAAAATCAAAGACCCTAAATTCAAGACCCCAGAGATGATAATTCAGAAACCTAAAATCTCCATGCAGGATGTAGACCTGAGCCTCAGGTCCCCCAAATTTAAAGGGGATATGAAGGCGTCAGGTCCAGGAATACAAGGGGATATAAAAGGTCCTCAGATAATCATGAAAGAGCCGACAGTGGATGTTAAGGCACCCAGCCTAGAGGGGTCCCTGACCGGGCCCAAGATTGGCAGTCCATCTGGGAAAATGGGGACCTGCAAAATCAGCATGGCTGATGTTGATCTGAACGTAGGTGCCCCCAAAATAAAGGGCCAGGTGGACATCGCCTCCCCGAAAGTAGAAGGGCAAGTCAAAGGACCTGAGCTAGACATTAAAGGCCCCAGAGTGGACGTCAGTGCCCCAGATGTGGATGTACACGGGCCTGAGTGGCACCTGAATATGCCCAAGATGAAGATGCCCAAGTTCAGTGTGCCAGGGATCAAGGGGGAGGGGCCAGAGGTCAATGTGAACCTGCCCAAGGGAGACATTAATGTTTCAGGGCCTGGCATCGACATTGCAGCCCCACAGGTCAACCTTGGAGGCCCAGAGGAAAAAGTGAAAGGGCCTGGGGTCAAGGTACCAGATGTGAATATCAAGGCCCCGAAGATCTCCATGCCAGACGTAGATCTGCACCTCAAAGGTACAAAGGTGACAGGAGAATATGATGTGACCATCCCAAAACTGGAAGGGGATCTGAAAGGCCCCAAAGTGGACGTCAGCACCCCGGATGTGGAGCTCCACGGGCCAGAGTGGAACGTCAAGATGCCCAAGATGAAGATGCCCAAGTTCAGTGTGCCAGGGTTCAAGGGGGAGGGCCCCGAGGTGGATGTGAACTTGCCCAAAGCAGACCTTGATATTTCTGGGCCCAAAGTGGACATTGAAGCTCCAGCTGTGAATGTGGAGGTCCCAGAAGGGAAACTGAAGGGTCCCAAGTTTAAGATGCCTGAGATGAATTTCAAGACCCCAAAGATTTCCATGCCAGACTTCCATTTGAAGGGCCCCAAGGTGAAGGGAGAATATGATGTGACCTCTCCCAAACTAGAAGGTGAGGGGAAAGTTCCAGATGTGGAACTGAAAGGGGCCAAAATGGATGTCAGCGCCCCAGATGTGGAGCTCCATGGGCCAGAGTGGAACCTCAAGATGCCTAAAGTGAAAATGCCCAAGTTCAGTGTGCCAGGGTTCAAGGGGGAGGGGCCAGAGGTGGATGTGAGCCTGCCTAAAGCAGATGTTGACATTTCCGGGCCCAAGGTGGACGTTGATGTTCCAGATGTGAATATTGAAGGCCCAGAAGGGAAAGTCAAAGGCCCTAAATTTAAAATGCCTGAGATGAATATTAAGGCCCCAAAGATTTCTATGCCAGATGTGGATTTGCATGTGAAAGCCCCCAAAGTGAAGGGAGAATATGATGTTTCAGTTCCCAAACTGGAAGGAGATCTGAAAAGCCCCAAAGTGGATGTCAGTGCCCTAGATGTGGACATCCATGGGCCTGAGTGGAACCTGAAAATGCCCAAGGTGAAGATGCCAAAGTTCAGCATGCCAGGCTTCAAGGGGGAAGGACCAGATGTGGATGTGAGCCTGCCCAAAGCAGATGTTGACATTTCTGGGCCCAAGGTGGACATTGATGTTCCAGATGTGGACATTGAAGGGCCAGAAGGAAAACTGAAGGGCCCCAAATTCAAGAAGCCTGACATGCACTTCAAGGCCCCCAAGATCTCCATGCCCGATATTGACTTGAACCTGAAAGGCCCCAAAGTGAAGGGAGATGTGGATGTGTGTCTGTGCCCAAGATTGAAGGTGAGGTGAAGGTTCCTGATGTAGACATCAAGGGCCCCAGAGTGGATGATGCACCCCAGATGTGGACGTCCATGGGCCCGAGTGGAATTTGAAGATGCCCAAGATGAAGATGCCCAAGTTCAGCATGCCAGGCTTTAAGGGGGAGGGCCCAGATGTGGATGTGAGCCTGCCCAAAGCTGATATTGACATTTCTGGGCCTAAGGTGGACATTGATGTTCCAGATGTGGACATTGAAGGGCCAGAAGGGAAATTGAAGGGCCCCAAGTTCAAGATGCCCGACATGCACTTCAAGGCCCCCAAGATCTCCATGCCAGATGTGGACCTGCATTTGAGAGGCCCCAAAGTGAAGGGAGACATGGATGTGGATGTGTCTGTGCCCAAGATTGAAGGTGAGGTGAAGGTTCCTGATGTAGACATCAAGGGCCCCAGAGTGGATGTTAGTGCCCCAGATGTGGACGTCCATGGGCCCGAGTGGAATTTGAAGATGCCCAAGATGAAGATGCCCAAGTTCAGCATGCCTGGGTTCAAGGGGGAGGGCCCAGATGTGGATGTGAGCCTGCCTAAAGCAGATGTTGACATTTCTGGGCCCAAAGTGGACATTGATGTTCCAGATGTGGACTTAGAGTGCCCAGATGCCAAACTGAAGGGTCCCAAGTTCAAGATGCCTGACATGCACTTCAAGGCCCCCAAGATCTCTATGCCAGATGTGGACCTGCATTTGAGAGGCCCCAAAGTGAAGGGAGACATGGATGTGGATGTGTCTGTGCCCAAGATAGAAGGTGAGGTGAAGGTTCCTGATGTAGACATCAAGGGCCCCAAAGTGGATGTCAGCACCCCAGATTTGGATGTCCTTGGGCCTGAGTGGAATTTGAAGATGCCCAAGATGAAGATGCCCAAGTTCAGTATGCCCGGCTTCAAGGGGGAAGGACCAGATGTGGATGTGAGCCTGCCCAAAGCAGATGTTGACATTTCTGGGCCTAAAGTGGACATTGATATTCCAGATGTGGATATTGAAGGGCCAGAAGGGAAATTGAAGGGCCCCAAATTCAAGATGCCTGACATGCACTTCAAGGCCCCCAAGATCTCTATGCCTGATATTGACTTGAACCTGAAAGGCCCCAAGATGAAGGGAGATGTGGGTGTGTCTGTGCCCAAAATAGAAGGTGAGGTGAAGGTTCCTGACGTGAACATCAAGGGGCCCAAGTTGGACATTAATGCCCCAGATGTGGACGTCCATGGGCCCGAGTGGAACTTGAAGATGCCCAAGATGAAGATGCCCAAGTTCAGCATGCCTGGGTTCAAGGGGGAAGGCCCAGATGTGGATGTGAGCCTGCCCAAAGCAGATGTTGACATTTCTGGGCCCAAGGTGGACATTGATGTTCCAGATGTGGACATTGAAGGGCCAGAAGGGAAATTGAAGGGCCCCAAGTTCAAGATGCCTGACATGCACTTCAAGGCCCCCAAGATCTCTATGCCAGATGTGGACCTGCATTTGAGAGGCCCCAAAGTGAAGGGAGACATGGATGTGGATGTGTCTGTGCCCAAGATAGAAGGTGAGGTGAAGGTTCCTGATGTAGACATCAAGGGCCCCAAAGTGGATGTCAGCGCCCCAGATGTAGATGTCCATGGGCCCGAGTGGAATTTGAAGATGCCCAAGATGAAGATGCCCAAGTTCAGCATGCCTGGGTTCAAGGGGGAGGGTCCAGATGTGGATGTGAGCCTGCCCAAAGCAGATGTTGATATTTCTGGGCCTAAGGTGGATATAAATGCTCCAAGTGTGAATATTGAAGGTCCAGATGCAAAATTTAAAAGTCCCAAATTCAAGCTTCCTGAAATGAACATAAAGCCTCAGAAGATCTCTATGCCAGATGTTGGCTTGCATTTGAAAGGTCCCAAGGTGAAGGGAGAATATGAAGTCAGGGCTCCAAAGATAGAAGGTGAGATGGAGGTGCCAGATGTGGAACTGAAAGGTCCTGAGGTAGACATCAGTGCCCCCGATGTGGATGTCCGTGGACCAGACTGGCATCTGAAAATGCCCAAGATGAAAATGCCCAAGTTCAGCATGCCAGGGTTCAAGGGGGAGAGCCCAGATGTGGATGTCAACCTTCCCAAGGCAGATATCAACATCTCAGGCCCCAAGGTGAACCTTGAGGCTCCAGATGTGAATCTAGAAGGTCCAGAGGGGAAGATCAAAGGCCCCAAGTTCAAGATGCCCAGCATGAATATCCACACACACAAAATATCTATGCCTGATGTGGGACTCAATTTGAAATCACCCAAATTAAAGGGTGATTTGGATGTTTCTCTCCCCAAAGTAGAAGGAGACTTAGCAGGTCCTAAAGTTGACTTAAAAGGCCCCAAGGTGGATGTGGACATTGGGGATGTTGATCTTGAAGGTCCAGAAGGAAAGATAAAAGGCCCCAAGTTCAAGATGCCCGACATGCACTTCAAGGCCCCCAAGATCTCCATGCCAGATGTGGACCTGCATTTGAGAGGCCCCAAAGTGAAGGGAGACATGGATGTGGATGTGTCTGTGCCCAAGATTGAAGGTGAGGTGAAGGTTCCTGATGTAGACATCAAGGGCCCCAGAGTGGATGTTAGTGCCCCAGATGTGGACGTCCATGGGCCCGAGTGGAATTTGAAGATGCCCAAGATGAAGATGCCCAAGTTCAGCATGCCTGGGTTCAAGGGGGAGGGCCCAGATGTGGATGTGAGCCTGCCTAAAGCAGATGTTGACATTTCTGGGCCCAAGGTGGACATTAAAGCACCAGATGTAAATATTGAAGGGCCAGATGCCAAACTGAAGGGCCCCAAGTTCAAAATGCCCGACATGCACTTCAAGGCCCCCAAGATCTCCATGCCAGATGTGGACCTGCATTTGAGAGGCCCCAAAGTGAAGGGGGATGTAGATGTGTCTGTGCCCAAGTTGGAGGGAGATATCAAAGGTCCCAGTGTGGATGTCGAGGTGCCCGATGTGGACCTGGAGTGCCCAGATGCCAAGCTGAAGGGCCCCAAGTTCAAGATGCCCGACATGCACTTCAAGGCCCCCAAGATCTCCATGCCAGATGTGGACCTGCATTTGAGAGGCCCCAAAGTGAAGGGGGATGTAGACGTGTCTGTGCCCAAGTTGGAGGGAGATATCAGGGGTCCCAATGTGGATGTCGAGGTGCCTGATGTGGACCTGGAGTGCCCAGATGCTAAGCTGAAGGGCCCCAAGTTCAAGATGCCCGACATGCACTTCAAGGCCCCCAAGATCTCCATGCCAGATGTGGACCTGCATTTGAGAGGCCCTAAAGTGAAGGGAGACATGGATGTGGATGTGTCTGTGCCCAAGATTGAAGGTGATGTGAAGGTGCCTGATGTGGATATTAAAGGCCCCAAAGTGGATGTCAGTGCCCCAGATGTGGATGTCCATGGACCTGAGTGGAATTTGAAGATGCCCAAGATGAAGATGCCCAAGTTCAGTATGCCAGGCTTCAAGGGGGAGGGCCCAGATGTGGATGTGAGCCTACCTAAAGCAGATGTTGACATTTCTGGGCCCAAGGTGGACATTGATGTTCCAGATGTGGATTTAGAGTGCCCAGATGCCAAACTGAAGGGTCCCAAGTTCAAGATGCCCGACATGCACTTCAAGGCCCCCAAGATCTCCATGCCAGATGTGGACCTGCATTTGAGAGGCCCCAAAGTGAAGGGGGATGTAGACGTGTCTGTGCCCAAGCTGGAGGGAGATATCAAGGGTCCCAGTGTGGATGTCGAGGTGCCCGATGTGGACCTGGAGTGCCCAGATGCCAAGCTGAAGGGCCCCAAGTTCAAGATGCCCGACATGCACTTCAAGGCCCCCAAGATCTCCATGCCAGATGTGGATTTCAACTTGAAGGGCCCTAAGATCAAAGGAGATGTTGATGTTTCTGTGCCCAAAATAGAAGGTCCAGAATTAGATGTTAAAGGTCCCAAATTGGATGTTGACATGCCAGATGTGAATGTTGAAGGTCCTGAAGGCAAGTGGAAAGGTCCAAAATTTAAGATGCCCGACATGCACTTCAAGGCCCCCAAGATCTCCATGCCAGATGTGGATCTACATTTGAAAGGCCCCAAAATGAAGGGGGATGTGGATGTGTCTATACCCAAGATAGAAGGTGAGGTGAAGGTGCCTGATGTGGACATCAAGGGGCCCAAGTTGGACATTAATGCCCCAGATGTGGATGTCCATGGGCCTGAGTGGAACCTCAAGATGCCCAAGATGAAGATGCCCAAGTTCAGCATGCCAGGGTTCAAGGGGGAAGGCCCAGATGTGGATGTGAGCCTGCCCAAAGGAGATATTAATATTTCAGGGCCCAAAGTGGATATTGATGCACCTGATGTGACTCTAGAAGGCCCGGAGGGGAAGATCAAAGGCCCCAAGTTCAAGATGCCTGAGATGAACATCAAGGCCCCCAAGATCTCCATGCCCGATTTTGACTTGCATCTGAAAGGCCCCAAAGTGAAGGGAGATGTGGATGTGTCTGTGCCCAAGATAGAAGGTGAGGTGAAGGTTCCTGATGTGGACATCAAGGGCCCCAAAGTGGATGTCAGCGCCCCAGATGTGGACGTCCATGGGCCCGAGTGGAATTTGAAGATGCCCAAGATGAAGATGCCCAAGTTCAGCATGCCAGGCTTTAAGGGGGAGGGCCCAGATGTGGATGTGAGCCTGCCCAAAGCTGATATTGACATTTCTGGGCCTAAGGTGGACATTGATGTTCCAGATGTGAGCGTTGAGGCCCCTGAGGGAAAGATCAAAGGTCCCAAGTTCAAAATGCCTGACATGCACATCAAGGCTCCGAAAATGTCTATGCCTGATGTGGACCTTAATCTGAAAGGCCCCAAAATGAAAGGAGATGTGGATATCTCTGGGCCAAAGCTGGAAGGAGATCTGAAGGGCCCTGAGCTTGACATCAAAGGCCCCAAAGTAGACATCAGTGCCCCAGATGTGGACATCCATGGGCCAGACTGGAACTTGAAAATGCCCAAGGTGAAGATGCCCAAATTCAGCATGCCAGGCTTCAAAGGAGAGGGTCCTGAGGTGGATGTGAGCCTGCCCAAGGCAGATGTTGACATTACAGGACCTAATGTGGAAGTTGAGGCTCCAGATGTGAATATTGAAGGGCCAGAAGGGAAGTGGAAAAGTCCCAAGTTTAAGATGCCTGATATACATTTTAAAACCCCAAAGATATCAATGCCAGAAATTGACCTTAATTTGAAAGGCCCCAAAGTAAAAGGAGATGTAGATGTTTCAGTCCCTAAGTTGGAAGGGGACATCAAAGGCCCTGAGCTTGACATCAAAGGCCCCAAAGTGGATGTCAGTGCCCCAGATGTGGACATCCATGGGCCAGATTGGAACTTGAAAATGCCCAAGGTGAAGATGCCCAAATTCAGCATGCCAGGGTTCAAAGGGGAAGGCCCAGAGGTGGATGTGAGCCTGCCCAAGGCAGACATTGACATTTCAGGCCCCAAGGTGGACATCGAGACTCCAGATGTGACTCTAGAAGGTCCAGAGGGGAAGATCAAAGGCCCCAAGTTCAAGATGCCTGAGATGAACATCAAGGCCCCCAAGATCTCCATGCCCGATTTTGACTTGAATCTGAAAGGTCCCAAAGTGAAAGGAGATGTGGATGTTTCTCTGCCCAAAGTGGAAGGGGAGATGAAAGTGCCAGATGTAGAACTGAAGGGTCCTAAGGTGGACATCAGTGCTCCAGATGTGGATGTCCATGGGCCAGATTGGAACTTGAAAATGCCCAAGGTGAAGATGCCCAAGTTCAGCATGCCAGGGTTCAAAGGGGAGCGCCCAGAGGTGGATGTGAGCCTGCCCAAGCAGACATTGACATTTCAGGCCCCAAGGTGGACATCGAGGCTCCAGATGTGAGTATAGAAGGCCCAGAGGGGAAGATCAAAGGCCCCAAGTTCAAGATGCCTGAGATGAACATCAAGGCCCCCAAGATTTCCATGCCCGATTTTGACTTGAATCTGAAAGGCCCTAAAGTCAAGGGAGATGTAGATGTGTCTGTGCCCAAGATAGAAGGTGAGGTGGAAGTTCCAGATGTGAACATCAAAGGCCCCAAAGTGGACATCAGTGCTCCAGATGTGGATGTCCATGGCCCAGATTGGAATTTGAAAATGCCCAAGATGAAGATGCCCAAGTTCAGCATGCCAGGGTTCAAGGGAGAGGGACCAGATGTAGATGTGAATCTTCCCAAAGCAGACATTGACCTTTCTGGACCCAAGGTGGACATTGAGGCTCCTGACATTAACATTGAGGGTCCAGATGCAAAAGTGAAAGGCCCCAAATTTAAAATGCCTGAGATGAATATTAAGGCTCCCAAGATCTCAATGCCAGACTTGGACCTCAATCTTAAGGGTCCTAAAATTAAAGGTGATGTGGATGTGACCCTTCCAAAGGTAGAGGGTGATTTGAAAGGGCCATCTCTTGACATCAAAGGCCCCAAGGTGGACATTGATGCCCCAGATATTGACATCCACGGCAAAGGTCCAAAACTCAAGATGCCCGACATGCAAGTCAACATGCCCAAGATTTCCATGCCAGAGATAGATCTCAATTTGAAAGGCCCCAAAATCAAGGGAGATGTTGATATCTCTGCGCCCAAATTAGAAGGTGACATCAAAGGTCCCAAAGTGGACTTAAAGGGCCCAGAGGTTGACATTGCAGCCCCTAAAGTCAACATTGAGGGGAAATCAAAGAAATCACGTTTCAAGCTTCCCAAGTTTCACTTCTCAGGCCCCAAAGTTCAAACCCCGGAGGTAGATGCCAAACTCAAGAAGCCAGATGTTGACATTTCAGGCCCCAAAGTGGATATACATGCCCCTGATGTGGAGGTGCAGGGCAAAGCAAAAGGCCCAAAGTTCAAAATGCCCTTTCTGAGCATTTCTTCACCCAAGGTCTCGATGCCAGATGTAGAGTTAAATCTGAAGGGCCCCAAAGTGAAGGGAGACCTGGATGTTGTGGGCCCAACCTTGGAAGGTGATTTGAAAGGTCCTAAAGTAGATCTTAAGACACCAGAAGTACATCTTGAAGCACCTGATATGGATGTCCATGGCCCAGACTTTAATGTGAAGATGCCCAAGATGAAGATGCCCAAATTCAGCGTGCCTGGGTTCAAGGGAGAAGGCCCAGAGGTGGATGTGAGCCTGCCCAAGGCAGACATTGACATTTCAGGCCCCAAGGTGGACATCGAGACTCCAGATGTGACTCTAGAAGGTCCAGAGGGGAAGATCAAAGGCCCCAAGTTCAAGATGCCTGAGATGAACATCAAGGCCCCCAAGATCTCCATGCCTGACTTGGACTTGCATCTGAAAGGCCCCAAAGTGAAGGGAGATGTGGATGTGTCCCTTCCCAAGGTGGAGGGGGATCTGAAAGGCCCTGAGCTTGACATCAAAGGCCCCAAAGTGGACATTGATGTTCCAGATGTGGACATTGAAGGCCCAGAAGGAAAGCTGAAAGGGCCCAAGTTCAAGATGCCAGACATGCATTTCCATGCCCCCAAGATCTCCATGCCCGACTTTGACTTGAACCTGAAAGGCCCTAAGGTGAAGGGAGATGTGGATGTGTCCCTTCCCAAGGTGGAGGGGGATCTGAAAGGCCCTGAGCTTGACATCAAGGGCCCCAAAGTGGATGTCAGTGCCCCAGATGTGGATGTCCATGGGCCAGATTGGAACTTAAAAATGCCCAAGGTGAAGATGCCCAAATTCAGCATGCCAGGGTTCAAAGGAGAAGGCCCAGAGGTGGATGTGAGCCTGCCCAAGGCAGACATTGACATTTCAGGCCCCAAGGTGGACATCGAGACTCCAGATGTGACTCTAGAAGGTCCAGAGGGGAAGATCAAAGGCCCCAAGTTCAAGATGCCTGAGATGAACATCAAGGCCCCCAAGATCTCCATGCCCGATTTTGACTTGAATCTGAAAGGCCCCAAAGTGAAAGGAGATGTGGATGTGTCTGTGCCCAAGATAGAAGGTGAGGTGAAGGTTCCTGATGTGGACATCAAGGGCCCTAACGTGGATATCGGTGCCCCAGATGTGGATGTCCATGGGCCAGATTGGAACCTCAAGATGCCCAAGATGAAGATGCCTAAGTTCAGCATGCCAGGCTTCAAGGGGGAGGGCCCAGATATGGATGTGAGTCTGCCCAAAGCAGATGTTGATATTTCTGGGCCTAAAGTGGACATTGATGTTCCAAATGTGGACATTGAAGGGCCAGAAGGAAAGCTGAAGGGCCCCAAATTCAAGATGCCTGACATGCACTTCAAGGCCCCCAAGATCTCTATGCCTGATATTGACTTGAACCTGAAAGGCCCCAAGATGAAGGGAGATGTGGATCTGTCTCTGCCCAAAGTGGAAGGTGATCTGAAAGGTCCTCAAGTGGATATCAAGGGCCCCAAATTGGACATAGATACACCTGACCTTGACATTCATGGCCCAGAAGGAAAGCTGAAGGGCCCCAAGTTCAAAATGCCTGACCTGCATCTCAAGGCCCCCAAAATCTCTATGCCAGATGTGGATCTGAACCTGAAAGGCCCTAAGGTAAAGGGAGATGTGGATGTGTCCCTTCCCAAGGTGGAGGGGGATCTGAAAGGCCCTGAGCTTGACATCAAAGGCCCCAAAGTAGATGTCAGTGCCCCAGATGTTGACGTCCATGGGCCAGATTGGAACTTGAAAATGCCCAAGGTGAAGATGCCCAAATTCAGCATGCCAGGGTTCAAAGGAGAAGGCCCAGAGGTGGATGTGAGTCTGCCCAAGGCAGACATTGACATTTCAGGCCCCAAGGTGGACATCGAGGCCCCTGATCTAAGTATTGAAGGGCCCGAAGGGAAACTGAAGGGTCCCAAGTTCAAGATGCCTGAGATGAACATCAAGGCCCCCAAGATCTCCATGCCCGATTTTGACTTGCATCTGAAAGGCCCCAAAGTGAAGGGAGATGTGGATGTGTCCCTTCCCAGGGTGGAAGGGGATCTGAAAGGCCCTGAGCTTGACATCAAAGGCCCCAAAGTGGACATTGATGTTCCAGATGTGGACATTGAAGGCCCAGAAGGAAAGCTGAAAGGGCCCAAGTTCAAGATGCCAGACATGCATTTCCATGCCCCTAAATCTTCCATGCCCGACTTTGACTTGAACCTGAAAGGCCCTAAGGTGAAGGGAGATGTGGATGTGTCCCTTCCCAAGGTGGAAGGAGACCTCAAAGGACCCCACATGGATTTTAAAGGTCCTGAGCTGGACATTGAGGGTCCCGAGGGGAAACTGAAGGGTCCTAAATTCCACATGCCTGATGTGCATTTCAAGACCCCCCAGATTTCCATGAGTGAAATTGACTTGAACCTGAAAGGCCCCAAGATGAAGGGAGATGTGGATCTGTCTCTGCCCAAAGTGGAAAGTGATCTGAGAGGTCCTCAAGTGGATATCAAGGGCCCCAAATTGGACATAGATACACCTGACCTTGACATTCAGGCCCAGAAGGAAAGCTGAAGGGCCCCAAGTTCAAAATGCCTGACCTGCATCTCAAGGCACCCAAAATCTCTATGCCAGATGTGGACCTGAACCTGAAAGGCCCTAAGGTAAAGGGAGATGTAGATGTATCCCTTCCCAAGGTGGAGGGGGATCTGAAAGGCCCTGAGCTTGACATCAAGGGCCCCAAATTGGACATAGATACACCTGACCTTGACATTCATGGCCCAGAAGGAAAGCTGAAGGGCCCCAAGTTCAAAATGCCTGACCTGCATCTCAAGGCCCCCAAAATCTCTATGCCAGATGTGGATCTGAACCTGAAAGGCCCTAAGGTAAAGGGAGATGTAGATGTGTCCCTTCCCAAGATAGAGGGGGATCTGAAGGGCCCTGAGCTTGATGTCAAAGGCCCCAAAGTGGATGTCAGTGCCCCAGATGTGGACGTCCATGGGCCAGATTGGAACTTGAAAATGCCCAAGGTGAAGATGCCCAAATTCAGCATGCCAGGGTTCAAAGGAGAGGGCCCAGAGGTGGATGTGAGCCTGCCCAAGGCAGACATTGACATATCTGGTCCCAAGGTGAACATTGAGGCTCCAGATGTGAGTATAGAAGGCCCAGAGGGGAAGATCAAAGGCCCCAAGTTCAAGATGCCTGAGATGAACATCAAGGCCCCCAAGATCTCCATGCCTGACTTGGACTTGCATCTGAAAGGCCCCAAAGTGAAGGGAGATGTGGATGTGTCCCTTCCCAAGGTGGAGGGGGATCTGAAAGGCCCTGAGCTTGACATCAAAGGCCCCAAAGTGGACATTGATGTTCCAGATGTGGACATTGAAGGCCCAGAAGGAAAGCTGAAAGGGCCCAAGTTCAAGATGCCAGACATGCATTTCCATGCCCCCAAGATCTCCATGCCCGACTTTGACTTGAACCTGAAAGGCCCTAAGGTGAAGGGAGATGTGGATGTGTCCCTTCCCAAGGTGGAGGGGGATCTGAAAGGCCCTGAGCTTGACATCAAGGGCCCCAAAGTGGATGTCAGTGCCCCAGATGTGGATGTCCATGGGCCGGATTGGAACTTAAAAATGCCCAAGGTGAAGATGCCCAAATTCAGCATGCCAGGGTTCAAAGGAGAAGGCCCAGAGGTGGATGTGAGCCTGCCCAAGGCAGACATTGACATTTCAGGCCCCAAGGTGGACATCGAGGCCCCTGATCTAAGTATTGAAGGGCCCGAAGGGAAACTGAAGGGTCCCAAGTTCAAGATGCCTGAGATGAACATCAAGGCCCCCAAGATCTCTATGCCTGATGTTGACTTGCATCTGAAAGGGCCCAAATTAAAGGGAGATTTTGACGTGTCTGTTCCTAAGCTTGAAGGTAATCTGAAGGGTCCTGAAGTTGACTTTCAGGGTCCCAGTTTGGATCTCCAAGGCCCTGATGCCAAATTAAGTGGCCCAGGCTTGAAAATGCCATCACTAGACGTTTCTGGGCCTAAAGTATCTGCTCCTGATGTGGACTTGCATCTCAAGTCACCTAAGTTTGGCATGTCTGGTCCCAAGATAGAAGGTGGTGAATTGTACCTGACGGGCCCCACGGTGGATCTGGAAACACCAAGTTTGAATGTTGAGAGCCCGGACCTGAACATTGAGGGGCCAGATGTTAAAATGCCAAAATTTAAGAAACCTAAATTTGGCTTTGGGGCTAAAGGCCCAAAGGCAGACATCAAGTCCCCTTCAGTAGACGTCACCGTTCCGGAAGCAGGACTGAACGTCGAGTCTCCAGATATCAGCGTCAGCGGGAAGGGCAAGAAAATGAAGTTTAAAATGCCTAGGATCCATATGAGTGGCCCTAAAATCAAGGCCAAAAAACAGGGATTTGATTTGAATGCCCCTGAGGGTGAAATTGATGCCAGTCTCAAAACTCCAGACCTAGACGTCAACGTGGCAGCTCCCGATGCTTCTCTTAAGGTGGATGTGAAATCTCCCAAGACTAAGAAGCCGATGTTTGGGAAAATGTACTTCCCTGATGTAGAATTTGATATCAAATCTCCCAAGTTCAAAGCAGAGGCCCCACTTCCCAGCCCCAAACTGGAAGGAGAGATCCAAACACCCGGACTGGAAGTTTCATCTCCCGGAATTAAAGCAGGGCTCAAGGGACCTGGGCTGGAGGCTGGGTCTGTTGGCCTGAGTGGGAGTCTTCCTAGTGCCAACGTGGAAGGGCCTGACATCCATCTGAAGGCACCAAAGTTCAAGGGGCCAGGTGGGAGCATCGATTTCTCAGGGCCAAAGATAGAGGGAGATCTGAAGGTGCCCAGTGTCCAAGCCAACTTGGATGCCTCTGATATCAACATTGAAGTCCCTGATGCCAGAGTGAAAGCTCCCTCCTTTGGCATCTCATCTCCTCAAGTATCTATCCCTGATGTGAATGTCAGCTTGAAAGGACCAAATATAAAGGGTGATGTCCCCAAAGTGGAGTTGGAAGGACCAGATGTTGATCTGAAGGGTTCAGATGTAAAAATCCAGTTCCCTAAGTTTTCCTTGCCCAAGATTGGAGTACCTGGTCTGAAGGTGGAGGGTGGGGGAGCTGATTTTCATGGCCAGCTCCCCTCTCTTGAAGGAGGTGTGAGTGCCCCTAACCTCAAGTTTGAAGGGCCTGATGTAACACTGAGAGGACCCCACGGAAATGTGCCTTCAATGAACCTCTCTGGGCCGGATCTTGACTTGAATTTGAAAGGACCAAAGCTGAAGGGAGACCTGGATGTTTCTGGGGGTGTTGTGGGTCCCAAGGTGAGTGTGGACACCCCAGGCCTTGACCTCAAAGGAGCTGGTGGGAAATTGAAGATGGAAGGTGGTGGCAGATTTTCTGCAGAGGGAGGAGTGAAAGTGCCTGGTGTCGACATCAATTTAGAGACTCCAAAATTGAACGTCGGCATGGCCGATGTGAATCTGAAGGGACCAAACCTGAAGGGAGACTTGGGTCTAGCTGGTGACATCAAGGGTCCCAAAGTGTCGGTGGAGGCCCCAGCTGTCGGTTTGGAGGCACCGGGGGGAGCTATTAAACTCCCCCAAATGAAGCTGCCCCAATTCGGCATCTCCTCTCAAGGGTCTAACCAGGACGTGAATGTCACAGGGCCAGAGCTGAAGGGGCCTGGGATGGATGTTCGCCTCAGAGGTGTGGACATGAAAGGGCCTCAGATCTCATCTGATGTGGACTTTAACTTGGAAGGACCAAAAATGAAAGGCGGCTTCGGGGCCAGCGGTGATATCAAGGGTCCTGCTGTGGGAGTGGGTCTTGGGGGCATCAACGTCAAAGGCTTGGAAGGCAGTATCCAGATGCCTGATGTCAAGTTGCCCAGATGTGAAGCAGAGCTGCCAGATGTGAATGTCAAACTCCCATTGGGGAAACTTTCGGGTTCAGGCATTGGTCTTCATGGGGAAGCTCCTGATGTGAGCCTCCAGGGACCTGCATTCAATCTCTCTTCACCCGAGGTCTCGGTATCAGACCTAGGGGGGATTGGTTTGAAGGGACCGAAAATCCAAGGTGGTGTGGATGTTTCTGGAGGTGTCAAAGCTCCAGACCTCAGCGTAGGGGGAGGACACGTGAACATAAAGGGTGTGGGTGGAGAATGGAAAGGGCCCCAGGTTTCTTCTGCTCTGGACCTGGGTGTGCCAAAGCTGGCTGGGGGGATCCATGTTTCAGGACCAAAGGTAGAAGGAGGTATTAAGGGAGGCCAGGTGGGACTTCAGGGTCCTGGAGTGGGTGTGTCTGGCCCTCAAGTTCACCTGGAAAGTGTCTCTGGAAGAGTGACATTCCCCAAGATGAAGATCCCCAAGTTTACGTCCTCAGAACGGGAGCTAGTGGGCAGAGAAGTGGGGGTGGATGTGAACTTCCCGAAAGTGGAAGGCGGCATTCAGGCTGCAGCTGACGAAGGGGAGTGGGAGGAGGCGGACATCAAACTCAAAAAGTCCAAAATCAGAATGCCCAAATTTACTTTTTCCAAAGCCAAAGGCAAGGGCAGTGCCACAAGCTCCCCAGAAGTGTCTATGTCCGGCTCCAAAGGAGACCTCAAGAGCTCTAAGGCCAGCTTGGGCTCCTTGGATGGGGAGCTCGAGGCAGAGGCATCCTCACCAAAAGGCAAGTTCTCCTTCTTTAAGAGCAAAAAGCCCCGTCACCGGTCCAGTTCCTTCAGTGATGAGAGGGAGCATTCTGCTCCAGTCACCCCTACAGGCACCCTTGAGTTTGGAAGTGGGGAAGTGTCCGTCGAGGGTGGAAAGGTCAAAGGGAAACATGGCAAACTGAAGTTTGGCACCTTTGGTGGGCTGGGGTCAAAGAGCAAAGGTCACTATGAAGTCACCGGGAGTGATGAAGAGGCTGGGAAGCTCCAGGGAAGTGGGGTGTCCCTGGCCTCCAAGAAGTCCAGGCTGTCTTCATCATCGAGTAATGACAGCGGGACAAAGATGGGCATACAGTCACCAGAGATGGAGTTGACTGTTTCCAAAAAGTAAGAGAAAAGGCCCTTTGTATGTGTGCACGTGTATATATATATAAATATAGGTTTGCAGTAGGTAGGCTTCTGTGTGTTTGTATATAAACTTCCAAAGATTGACTCAAGGTCGAAATCAGTGATTGAAATGGAGGCCCGGCTGGCACTTGGCCTGACCCCAGGTTAGGGTGAAGAGTCGGGCTGGGATGATAACGACAAAAGGAGGTGAATTTTTTTTTTTATTTTCCAATCCATCCTATCTGCAAATTAAGCAGTATTTGCCTTCTTAAGATTTCAGTTTGCTCATTAAACGCTGAGAGCATCTGTTTACTAAGCAAGCCTTGTGTTTATCACTTTCATTTTTATGGAATCTTTTCAGTGTTGGGGTCATAGAAATCTGACATCCATCTGAATGCCTTTTTTTGGGGGGTAGGCTTTTGTTTGCAAGGGATAGGAGGGTGGGATGGGAGTAGGGGTGGGATGGGGGGTGAGACTTCCATTTTGGCCTCTTAGGATGGATAATATTCCAAAATTGTCCTATCGGACACACACCAGGATGGCAGAGAAGTCTTCCCCAGGAAAATTGGTTTTTATTTTTTTTTGGTTGGGGGGGAGGTGGTGATGGTGCCCTTTAGCACATCAGATCTCCCCCCAAGCTGGTAATTCTGACCGATTTTGGGTGTTCCTGGTGAGAGGGGGTTAGATAGCTTCTCGCTTATTGTGACTGACCCGCTTGACTGGGGTTTACATACTTTGTACTATATGAGATGTTTTTACCAGTGACTGCCACTTTTCTGATATTTGTCATGGATGCTTTTTAACAAATATTACCTGATTAAGAATCCAGCACTTTAATGCCAAATTAATTCAGAATGTAAGAAAATTCATGCTGTAAAATGGAAATAAAGCCGCTAACAAGTAATCTGGATGCCTTGTGTCTCTGGATTCCATGCCAAGGTGGAGGGTGGGGAAGCAGCAAAAACTTGGAGGTGGGAACAGTCCGTAGGCCCAGAAAGGCCAAGCAACTTGTCTAAGTTCGAATAGTAAAGCCCAGGTTGCTTTAAGGTCTCATGTTCCAAGCTGGGCCGCCGAGTTTGTGACAGACAGGAACATGAACCAATTAGAGGGAGGGTTTTGGGGGTTTACAAAAAAGGGACCTTCATAGAAGCCCACAATGTCAGAAGTTGGGGGAAGCCTCTCTTCAGACACAACTATAGTTAGTGGTTTTGGCAAGGAGCATGAAATGTACCCCCAGGGCATCTTTTTGTAGTCAGTTGAATTAGAAATAGAGGGAGTGGAGCCCATGATAGCACGGTCCCTGTTTGGCCCCAGGACGCCTCCAGTCCTCTGCTAGGAAGACTATTGTAGGGCCCAAGTAGGTGCACCCAAGCTGAGTTCTAGTAAACTAGGTGATCATTTAGAGCTGGAAGGGACCTTAGAAGCCAGCCCAAGGATGACATTGTGGATAGGCAAGGAGAGTACTTGGCCCAGTCACACAGCTAGGAAACCACAGAGCTGGGATCGGATGCCAGGTCCTCCACTCTATCCACTGGGCTTCTATCATCCCATACAGCCCATCTCTTCTTTTCAAGGATCTGCTTCTCCATTTCCGATGCTGACACTCATCTTGCATTAGGAAGAATGACAATGACGAAAATCATTGCTTCTATTTCTGTCCTGTTTTACACTTTTTGGGTCTGAGAATTTCTCTCTATAAACTCTGTGACCATCAATAAATGTAAACATTCAAATGAACCAACTAAAGGTTTTAAAATGAGGTCACTCTTAAGCCCCAAACTGCAGGCTGTTTACAATTTGTTTCTAAAGTAGGTGTATTGACTGCACCCTCTCCCCATCCCTCTCCTGTAACACAGAAGTGTCGATGAGCCGAACAAAGCAGCCCATTGGCTCTGTCCAAAGTGGCTGAGGAGCTTACCGCCCATCCCTGTGAAAGGAGGGTCAGGTAGATTTCACAGTCTTTCCTCTGGAGCTACAATTCCTGGTCGTTGTAGTAATCGGAATTCTTATGTCTCTCTGTTTTGTTTTCTTTCTCTTGGGTCAAGCTATCCTACAAGCATGTTAGATGCTATGCTGGGCACAGACAAAAGTGAAGTCAGTCCTTGCCTTCAGGGAGCTGACAGTCTGCACAGGGGGATACAGGTGCATACATAGGTAGATACAAAATAGTTACAAAGTAACTTGTGTGTAGGCAAGCTGAAAAGGCTTTGTGAGAAGGCCCTGCTTGCCCTGGGCTTTGAAGTGAACTAGGAATTCTGAGACAAGGATGAAGAGGAAAGGGCATTTCAGGCAGAGGGGACAGCCAGCGCAAAGGGAGTGTCATGGGTGAGGAACAGAGACAAGGACAGTGTGTGTGGTTCAGGGGAGGGGACTTATTTACATAGACATGATAATTAAATCGATGGGAGCTGAAGAGTTCATCAAGAGAGAATAGAGGAGGGGGCCCAGGATAGAGCCCTGAAGGGCACCCACAGGGAGTGGGCAGAGTCTGCAAGCCCCCCGGAGGAGAGGCCAGGAAGCGTGTGGGTGGACAAATAGCCACCAGGTCTGGCGAGGAAGAGAGTGCTGGAGACCTGGGAGAGGGCCAGCTTCCAGACAGGGAGGGGCGTGGAAACGAGCGAGAGGAGAGGTAATGGTCGTGGCGGCTGCACTCTTCTCCCCTGTGCCCTTCTGAATTCCTCCTACTCTGTTTCTCACAGAACAGTCATATTCTATTGCATCCAAGGACCACAATTTGTTCGGCCATTTTGTTTTAGCTGATTGATGGACACCCTGTTTGTTTACTGTTTTTTGCAGCCACAGCCACACACACACACACACACACACACACACACACACACATTCACACACATTCACATACACTCTCATACATACACTCATACATACACAAACCCACTCCCTCACACACTCATACACATTGACATACATATTCATACACACACACTCCTTCATACATACACTCACACACACTCATACACATTCACATACATCCTCATACACATATTCTCTCATACATATACACACACTCCCTCACACATACACACACAATTCACATGCACACCTATATATGCATTTACTCTCATGTACACACTCATACACCCACATAGGAGCCTGTCTGGCATATTAGGACTTTTCTTTAAGCCTCTGACCCCTGGTATACTGACAGGGGAGTGTGCTAACTCTGCTGAATCTAGCAGAGCATTTTCTGGTCTTGGTGTTTCCTTCTGATCTTTTTTTCCTTCTGTGCCTTTTGCTGGGGGCTGTTTCCTTGGCCAAGGACACGCTCTGCCTCTGCTCACTTCCCCAGGCTTTCCTTTCTGTACTCTTCCTCCGGGTTCTTTGCCTTTTCAGGTCTGACTCCCCCTCTCTGGCCCCCCAAAACCCCTGCTTTTCCTGCAGTACCCTGATAGATACCAAAGCTGGAAGACCTGGGCTTGAATCCTGATGGTGGTACTGACTGCTTGTGTGCCCAGGGGCATCCCCAGGGCCTGGTACAGCACCTGGCATCTCCTTAATAAGTGCTTGCTAATTGACTGATGGATTGATCATGGGCAAGTCACTGGACTCCCCTGAACCTCACTTTCCTCTTGTGGAAAATGGAGATAATAATACCTGTATTACACGTGGGCTTAAATGCACCACAGGGTAGAAGGCGCTTTGTAGACTTTAAAGAACTGCAAAGATATCAGTTATTAGTATTTAAAATGTGTCTTGTGTCTCCCGTCATCCCTTGCACTTGGTGTGTTAATAGTCAATTAGGAGAAGAGCTGGCATTCACAGAGCACTTGAGGTTTGCACAGAGCCTTGCAAATAGGATCTCATTAGGTCCTTACAACAGTCCTGAGAGGTAGGTACTGTTATTACCCATTTCTCAGATGAGGAAACAAAGGAGAAGTGACTTGCTCAAGGTCACACAGTTCAAACACAGGTCTTCTGGATTACAAGGGCAGGAAGTACAATCCACTACACCCAGCCAGCCCATGTTACAAAGTGACAGGGCACAAAATCCAGGCGCCCGCTTGACGTCCTTCCCCTTATTCTAGTAGCTCTGAAGCTGCTGCACAGAGGGGCTCTGTGTCTTTCTCCATGGATGCTGGCCATGGGCTTGGCTTGGTAGCAGGCACTTTGCCATTGCCATCCTGCTGCCCTGTGGTCTCAGGCCTCGTGTGGAGTCCTGGCCTTCAGGCTGATGGCCAGGCTGGGCTGCTCCATGGGCTGGCTCCCACATTGGGCCCTGACCTGCCAGGGAGGGCCTTTATGTGGTCCTCTAAAAGCCCCCATTCATTTCTACCACGAGCCCCAGTTTGGCCTTGGCTGAGCATGGGATAGAAGGAAGAACTTCCCAGACTGGAGGGTGAGGTCTGGTGGGGACATGGGGGCAGTGCTTTTTACAAGCATCTTAAAGGGAGCCGCTAGGGTGTGGCCCAAGAAGGAAGGAAGGGAGGACACTCTGAATGAGATGGAGGAGGAAGCCAGGCCTCGGGTCCTCCTTCCCTCTTTTCATTTTTTTTCTTTTTCTTTTCTTTTTTTTGGTTAGGCAATGGGGTTAAGTGACTTGTCCAGGGTCATACAGCTATTAAGTGTTATGTGTCTGAGGCCGAATTTGAACTCAGGTCCTCCTGAATCCAGGGCTGGCGCCCTATCTACTGCGCCACCTAGCTGCCCCCCCCCCCTTTTCAGCCAGGACTTTGAGCTGGACCCCCTCCCTAAGCACAGAGAGCTTGTAAACCTTCAAGCAGCATTATGACTATTGCCTCTAGGCCCGGGAGAGGCTTTCAGCCTTGCTGGAAGCAAGTACCCATTTAAATGCCCATTTCTAGAATAATAAATGAGAGTGTTTTAAACTTTGCTAAGGGCTTCCCATCAATTACCTTGAGGGAGGCAGGTGCTACAGAAATTATTGTGCCATTGCACAGCTGAAGAAACCGAAGCTCGGAAAGGGTTATCGACTTGTCCGAAGCTACTGGACTAGTAAATAGCTTTCAGAGGTGAGATTTTAGCTCAGGCCTCCCCGTCTTTTAGTCCAGGGTTCTCTGTTCTGCCACAGTGCAAAGAGCCTTGCATGGGAGGGAGGTAGTGCCAGGAATATCATTCCCATTTCACAGGAGAGGCAATGGAGGCTTAAATGCTTAAGTGACTTGTCTATGGTCAACTACCCCAAACAGACAGAGGGCGGGAAGGAGCCAATCTTTTCATTTTAGAGATCTGACCAATTCTCTAAGCACTTTGGAGACACCCACTGTCCCAGGCACACTGGGCATCAAGAGAAAAGAGGAAGCGGGTCCTGCCTTCAAGGGGCATACATTCTACTGGGAGATCGGGTGTGGCAGGTGCAGCCCTATGTGTGCGCGGGAGGCCAGTTAAGCTGGAACGTCATACGGGTGATATGAAATCTGGAGGGACGTCTCACGTCCAGTAGAGACATTTGGATTTTATCCCAGAGGCGATAGGGAGCTAGGGAAGCTTCTTTAGTGAGGGAAGACTATGGTGAGACCTGTGCTTGAGGAAGGTTAATTTGGTAACCGTGTGGAGGATGGGAAGAGAATTGGGGAGACAGAATGGAGGCTGGGAGGACAAAGAGGAGGAATTCGGGAGGTGGGCGGGCCTGAACATGGGAGGGGGAGGGGGGGAACTGCAGGGAGATAATTGAGAATATTTGGCAGCTGATCTGGGAGGCAAGAAGGGAAGATCAGAGGACGCATTTGAGATTTAAACCTAGGGGGCTGGAAGAATGAGGGGGCTCTTGACGGAAATTTGGAGGAAGGAAGGGTTTTAGGGGAGTAGGTTCTGCTGAGCTCTGAGGTGCCGATGGGACACCCAGGTGGCCATGTCCAATAGATCACTGGGGATGTGGGACTGGAGCTCAGAGCAGAGAGGAGCGCTTTCAAATGTAAGTGTCATGGTCATTGAATAAATATGAGAGTTAAGCTCATGGGAGCTGGTGAAATCAGTGAGAAAGAGGAGAGGGTTGGTGAGAGGGGGAGAGAGACAGGTGGATAGACACAGACAGAGAGAGATGAGAGAGACAGAGATAGATGAGACAGAGACAGAAAGAGGAGAGAGGAGAGAGAAATATGAGAGAAAGGAGAGAGAGACAGAGAGATCCCTGAGGGACACCCCAAAGAAGGAGGCAGAGACACAGATGATAATCCTATGAAGGAGACTGAGATGCGGAGGCAGAATCTAGGAGATGCAGTATCAGGAAAACCCAGAGAAGAGAGATGATGCGGGAGGAGGTGACCGAGCAAAGTCAAAGACAGATGAAGATGAAGAAAAGGTCACTGGCCTGGACGACTAAAAGATCTCTGGTGACCTGGGAGGGAGCAGTTCCAGTTGAGTGATGAGGCTGGAAGCCCCGATCGGTTGATCGATCATAAGGGAAGTGAGTGAGCTCAGAGGAATCGGGGGGGGGGGGGGACAGAGTGTAGATGGCTTTTTCCAAGTTTGGCCGTGAAAGGCAGGCAAGATGAGGGAGGGGGACCCCCCTTATAGACTGCACCGAAGGATTTTCTAAGAAGCCCAAGCCCTCAAGGCTCAGGACAGCTGAAGTGATTCGCCCAGAACCATCCAGGCCCTGCCTTTTTGTTCTGCCATCCCAGTCTCGCACCCCACGACAGAGCCGGGGGAGCTCGGGCACCCTTTCTTCTTCTGGGGCCACAGGCCCAGCCCTGGGCTTCCTCTTTTAATGGCAGGCCTGGGCTTTTCCTCTCTGGAGTCTTCCCCATGTGGTAATTAGGTAACTATAATCACACGATTTTTGTTATAATTATACCTACCAGGCTCAAACCCACATTGGTCCTTGGAGGCCCTGGCATGGGCACCATCCCAGGAAAGAGACAGAGTGCCCCATAGCTGGTGTGCAGTGTCTGGTGCCCCTCTGGCCCACTGGTTCCTGGCATCCCCCAAATGGCCGGATGCCGGCTCTCTCCTTTTAGGGAAGTGCTGAAATGAGTGGGATTTGAGCCAAGTGTGTGGGGGGGGCTGGCATATTTGTCTTTCCTATTTGCACTCTTACCTGTTTATTATGGGAAAAGGTCTATCTAGAGCTAGAAAAATGGTGTTAACAAAGCCCCAGAGATGTGGTGGGAACATATTTTGATGGGAAGTCTATATGGGAAAAACAGGAAACAGAATGATGTAGCAGAGACAATACGGCATTGGGGTCCAGAGGACTGGAGTCCCGATGCCATTTCGGCCAAGTGACTGGTTTGGTGACCTTAGGGAATCCAACTCTGCAAACATTGATTAAAAGCATTTAATGTGCAAGACACTGTACAAAGTTGATAGAGAAGCTGCTTCCCCTCCTTGGGAATCATTTTCCTCATTTGACAAACAGGTTGGACTAAAGTCCTTTCTGCGGCTAAGTCTCTTAAATGCCCTTGGCCTGAAGAGGCTGTGTGGACAGAGGAAAGGTTCATGCAGTCTTCCCTGACATATATTAGCTGTGTGACCATGGCCAAGTCTCTTAACCACTCTGGGCCCAAGTCACTGTAAGATTGTCACTTACACATAGTTGCCAATTAAGGTTGATGAAATCATATGGCTGGACCCAAAAATAGATAGCCCCATTGGTCTGAGACCCTGAAGAATTCATGTAAAGACAGCAGCCGAGACAATGCAAGTTAGTAGCTTATGATGGAAAGACCTAGCATTGCAAAACTTGGCTTCCAATACTGTTTCCGAGACTGGGGTGTGACCTTGGACAAATCACAGAGACCTGTTGGAGCCTCAATTTCCCCACCTGTAGAATGGTGATAGATGGGCTTCCTGCCTCACAAAGCCGTGGGGAGGAGAGGACTGAGCAAATCTGAAGGCCTGGCCAAAAAGGAGGTTCCTACATTGGTTCTTAACAATCATGATTTTTGCCATCGAGGTGCTCTGGTGTGGTCATACATTGGGAGCCCTCCAGCTAGGCCAAGGTCAACCTGCCCTGCTCCGTTGTTATGGAAGCTTTGCCGGGATTGGGCTGGGGCTTCGGGAGGAAGGGAGGAGGGAGGGAGTGTGGCTTCTCTGGGGGATGTGGGCAGGAAGGGGGGGTGACACAGGGCTAGCAGGCAGCTTCTGACATGGCAGCTCCATCCTTCCTCCCTCCCCTCACCTGTAATCTCAGGCCCCTCTCAGAGAAGTAGAGAGAAGGAAGGGGATGAGGACCAGCAGAAAAGAGGGGTTGAAGCCAAGAAGGGAGAGGGCAGGGGGTCTGAGGATGTGCAAACAGAGGCCAGGGGAAGTTGAGCAAGTCTTTGGGGGTTTTTCCCCAGTTTTTTATTCTAAACTTAGCAACCATCTCCAACAACAAATATAAGCAGCATGGTTTGGTAGAAGCAAGGTGATGGGTTTGGAGTCTGAGAACTGGGTTCCAAACTTGCTGAGTCTAACCCTACCTGGGCAAGGGAGTCCCTTAGCCTTCCCAGGTGCTGAGGGCATGGGAATTGATGGTTTCCTAGGTCTGTGAGTCTGGGTGACTCATAGACAGCAACACATGTATGAAACTCCAAATTATTTACAATTGGTTTGTAAAATGTGTATGCTCCCTTTAACAAGCTAGTGCCCGGGGTTCCAGGCCCTCTCTGGGCTCTTTTTCTCTGGTGTATTTTACAGGCTTTGCTTTCCCTACAGAAGACCTGCTTTTGGAGGCATACCATATATTTCTGGTCCTGAATAGCAGTGACCTTGACCGAGTCACCTCACCTTTTAAGAGCTGTAGCTGAAAGTTAAAAGAGGCACATCTGACCTCAACCAAAGGAAATAATTTCCTAACAATTAGAACAGTTCAAGGCAGAATGGGCCACTGTGGGAGGTGGTGGTGCTCACTGGAGGCCTCTGAGCAAAGAAGGACCACCTCTTGTGAGGGATGCAGTTGGGGAGATTTCTCTTCATGCACTGACTGGACTAGATGGGCACTGGGTCCCTTCCAACCCTGAGATGCTGTCCAGCTGTGATTCTGAGGGTGGTGGACTGAGCAGTGGGTCCTAGTGGACACCTGCTCTCCTGTGGATATTTGGCAAAACTTTTTTTAACCTTAGAAAGGGACCTCATACTCAAAAAGGTTGGGGACCACTATATTTCAAGAGCTTTAGGGACCCTGCTAGCTCTGAGGCCTTATAGGATTTGCCTTGGCCCTAGGGCTTCCATTGGAGGACTCCTCTTCCTCCTACCCCTCCACCTTCCTTTAGGTAGTAGCAGCAAGAGGCAGTGTTGGGAGCTGGAAAATCCTTTAGGAAGGACACTGTCCTGCGGGTCCATTTGCAGAGGGGGCTAAGCAGGGCTTCTAGCAATGGGGATGGGTTATAAAGTGAAAGGGAGTCATGCAGTTCATCTCCCTCATTTTACAGATGAAGAAACTGAGGCCTTGGGCAGTTAAATGACTTAAGAACATCTATAGAGAGAAGAAAACATTTATTAAGTGCTTAGTATATACAAATTGACCTCATTTGATCCTCAAAGATACCTCAAAGATCATCCAGACCAGCTCCCAATTTTCTAGATGGGGAAACTGAGGCCAAGGTAGGTTAGCTGACTTGCCCATGGTCGTATAGATAGAGGGTTAGAAGCAGGATTCGAACCCAGCTCTTCTTGAGTACAAGTCTAGGACTTTAAGCATCACTCCAGGCTGCTTGCAGAACTGTGTGCCCATGACCTCCCCAGTCACTCTGAACCTGGGTTTCTTCCTCTGTAAAGAGGCTGGGAACACTTCGTAAGCTATAGAGAAAGCGCTACAGAAACGCCAGCTAGGACGGGAGCAAGACCCCAAAGAAGAGAGGGGAGGGAAGGTGGAGGCTGATGGTGGGAAGGGGTAGACAGGGCTGAGAGAGGCAGGCCCCCAAGAGAGGGAGGCAGGAAGGAAAGGAGGAGGATAGAGTGGAAAGCCGAATGCACCAGAGAGGCTCGCGGCAAGGAGCCCTTCTGGGAGGGAGGGACCAGGACGGGCGAGTTAGGGAGGGGTGGAGAGCAAACGCTCCCCGGCCCATGCAGCCAATCCGCAAGCGGAGTCCATGTCACGTGACCGGTTGCTGGGCAGCTTTTTCTCAGCCCCGGGGCTGCAGCTTGCTGCTGGGGTTCGGGCCGCGGCTGCCGGGTGTGGGGGCGCCCAGTCCTCCTCCTCTTCCTCCTGGATCTCGGGAGCGCCCTGGGAGAGCAAGGGGAGAGAGGGGACCAGAAGAGCAGAGGAGGAGAAAGCTTTCACTGCAGGTGTCTGAATAATAACTCACCTTTCTACACTGCTTTAACGCTTACTGAATACTTTGTTCACTATCATCCTGTCACCTCGTAGTCCTAGTAGAACTATCCTCAAGAGAAAACACAGACTTAGAGAGGCCAAGGGACTCAGTTTCCCTCTCTGTTAAATGAGAGACTTGGTCGTCTTTAATTTCCCTGCCGGCTCTGACATCCCATGTTCTACGGGGAGGGGACGGGGGAGCGTCTGTTCTCACACCAGCTCGGACTTCTGTGCCCTTCAGCCCTCCTCTTCCCCCACGTTCGGTCTTCTCGGGGCCGGCCAGCTCGGGCCTTCCACGTTCTTAGGCTCCGCCCCGCTGTGGGACAGGCTGCCTGCCTCCCCGGTTCAGACACGCTACGACCCTGTCCTCGATTCCCCCTCCCCCGGTCTGTGTTCTCAGGGCGCTGCCAGCTCCCAGTCCTCTTTGCTTGTGACTCGTCTTCGATCACGCAGATGGTGTCAGAGATAGGATTGAACCCGGGCCTTCTAATCGGAAGGCCAGTTAATTTTCTTACCTCCGGAAATGACGATTGGATGCTCCTCTGCTGCCTGCCTGGCACACTGCCTGCCTACCCTTCTTTCTTCCATGTTCAGCTCCACTCCTGAGTACCTTTAGTTGTGGCTCCTGGCTGCACAAGGGACCTCTGAATCTTCCCTCTCCACACTCTGGCCTTATCCTATCACTTCCCAGCCTTCCCTCCATCAAAACAACCAGGAACCATTAGACAGAGCTGAGAGGAGTCTTAGGGGCCATGTAATATTGATGACAGTGCTAGTGACCATCTATATACTGCTCTGAGGTTTTGCAAGGTACTTACACACATTATCTCAATCGATCTAACCCAACCCCCTCGTTTCCTCATTTTACAGACAAGGAAACTGAGGTCTGAAGAGGGGAAGTGACTTTGCTGGAGTTCCCCTAGTGGCAGAGTCCAGCTGGAGCCCAACTCACCTGTCTCCTTTCCTCAGGTGACAGGTGTTACCAACTGAAATAAAGTAATTTACAATAAAGATATTAAAGACCTAAGGTGCCCCTCCTCCCAGGGATATTTGTGTTTGTGACTGGGGAATTCAGGAGGTGAGAAATCTTTGTCGAGGGACCTTTTGGCCAGGGTCCATTCCCATGGAGTAGGTGATACCTTTCCTTTCCTTCTTTTCAGGACCAAGTTCAGAGTTGGCAAAGCCTTCCTCTTCCAGGCTGTCTCGGAACCTCTCTGATCCACTTCCTCCCCTCCCCTCAATTCCTATCAAAGTCCGTCTCAAATACCCTCTCCTTTAAGAAGCCTTCCTTGATTTCACAGCCTCTTAACATCCATACATAGGATTAGAGATTTAGAACTGGAAAGAATTTAGAGATCAACTAGTCTGATCTCTTCATTCTGCAGAAAAGAAACTGAGGCACAGGTGAGGAAAGTAACTTGTTGGAGATCATCTGGGTAATAAGGAGCAGAGCTGGAATTTGAACTCAGATCTTTGGACTCCATGATACTGTGCAACCCCTCCCCCCACCCAATACATGCATACACAGACACACAGCCCTCTACTGCCTGGAGACAAAGAGACTTGGGGACAGGCCCTCTGAAGGCTGCTGCTGCTGATTCCCTGCTTGGACTGTTGGGCTGGGCTGGGGGAGGACACCTGCCGTAGACATCCCGTGTTTTTCTCATAGCTAAATGTCCAGGGACACATGAACGTTTAGACTCAAGAGCTCGGGCTGGGTTTTTTTTTTCCTTTTCTTCTTTCTCTTAACTGGGCTTCTGCAGCTGTGCAGGAGGGAAGCCACTCCCTCTGAATACTGTTTTTGGCTGTGCTCCTTTGTTTGAAGTAATTCTCCAGTCCTGTTTATCCAGTCAACAAAACTTTCACTTCATGGGACACTTCGCATCTAGTGGCTCTTCCAGGCCCTAAAGAAAAACAATTTTTATGATCATATTCACTCTCATATTATAGCTCCCATTTCGAGAGGATTTACAAAGTGCTTTTCACACAAAGGGCCCTAGGAGGTATTGAATGTAAACATAACCCATGGTCTAGAGGCTCTGGGTTCACCAGGTTCAATCTTGGTAGGGGTGTGGGGTGTGCTTTTTAAGAGTTTTATTCAATTTGGTGCATTTAGGGGCAACATTTACATTTCTACAAAAATCTTGGAAATTCAGGTTTCTGGATTTAGAGATCCCACACAAGCACTTGGGGTAGTAGTATATTAAACATAGGACAGATTTCTGTAACCTGACCCAAAAAAAATCACACTGAGAAGACCCTGAAAAACACCGAGGACTGGTATCGTAGCTCTTAAGTGGTGTAGACAATTCTCCTTTCCTCTGCAATGTAAACCCACCTGCCCTGCTAGAGGAAGGCTTTCAGGGTTTCTAGAGCTGGGTGCTCTTCATGCATCTGTACAGTTTACATGCCCCGCCTGACAGTCAAGACCTAGGTCTGGCTTACCCTTCCACCCCATATCTCTGTCCCTTGTGGCTCATCAGCTCTAGTTTCTGCTTGGCTCAGACATCCTCCACTAGGGCCAGAACCTTTGCCCAGCTCCACCACTGCCTTCACCCGTTGTCACCTCTGGAGCTTCAGGGTTCGAGAGAGGAGTTGTGAAGGCTCCCTGCCCTAGAACATGAATCTCTGACTGAATGGGTTTCTCTCCATCAGGCCCAGAGCTGGTTTTCTGCATCTGCTTCATCACCCTTTTTAAGGTCAAGTTCAAAGGCAGATTCCAGGTATACGAACTGGCCGTGAGTCAATAAATCATTCCATTTTGACGTGGAATTGAAGGGGCGAGAGGTTGTACCTTACTAAGGCCTGACAGATGTTTCCCAGGTATTAACATCTTCCCGAGCTACAAGGACTCAGGAGGGGCTCACAAGGTTCCTACTAGGTTCACCGTTGAAGCCAGCGTTATTTACCCAAGTTTAGCAGATGAAGAAACTGAGACTCAGAGGGGGTTACTGTGTCTTACCCATTCATCCTCACACAATCAAAAGAGACCTGAGGCAGGATTCAAATCCAAGCCTTTTGACCCCAAGTCCACCACTCTTTTTTCTTTCCTTTTTCTTTTTTTCCTTTTCAGAATTTTTTATTAACTAATTTATTTTGAGTTATCAACAATCACTTCGATAAGTTGTTGAGTTTTAAATTTTTCTCCCCCTCCCCCCCTCCCCAAGATGGCACGCAATCTAATATGGGCTATACATATACATGCCTACTAAACATATTTTCGCATTAGTGGTGTTGTAAGGAAGAATTAGAACCAATAGGAGGAACCATAAGAAAGAGGAAGCAAAACACAGCAGAAGAAAAAAAACAGCAAATAGTATGCTTTGATCTGCGTTCAAACTCCATAGTTCTTTTCTTCATACCAGCACTCTTTTTTCTATTCTGTGCTGTCTGATAATGTTTCTTTATTTCCAAAGGGGAGATGACTTGGTCTTTTGTGTTTGGCCAGAAGCCTGACTGTTACATCTAGGACATACATGCTTTTTCTTTTTTTCCCAAAGTTGCCATGTGCAATCCATGCGAGAAGGAAAAGGAGTTGTGGTGGGGGAGGGGAAAGAGAGATAGATAGAGAATGAAAAGAGAGACGGAGAGGGAGAAGGAAAAGGAGAGTGGGAGGCAGGAAGAGAGGGAGAGAGGCAGACCGATAACCACCTGCATTTTTTTTTAAATAACAGTGATGAAAGGACAGTAGGATAGAGTACTGGGCTTAAAATCAGGAGGACTCATCTTCATCAGCTCAGATCCAGCCTCAGGCACTTACAGCTGTGTGACCCTGGGCAAGTCACTTGATCCTGTTTGCTTCAGTTTCGTCATCTGGAGAAGGAAATAGCAAACCACTCCAGTGTCTTTGCCAAGAAAACCCCAAACAGGCTCATGAAGAGTCAGACACGACTGAAACAACTCAACAGAGACGACAAAAGCCCTGGGAAGGGCTCCAAGCCGTGTATTTCTGGTAGTAACACAAAAGCAACCCCAAGAATCCCCTTAGTTCACTTTATTGCCACCAGAGCAGGTCTGCTGTGAATTAGTGATCAATGTGGACAGATGTGGATAGATTCACCAGGACGCTGGGATCGAACAGGTGGAAATGTTCGGTGCCAAGGCCAGTGGGGAGGGAGCAGCGTTAGGTCAAGCCACATCTCAGCCATCTCGGGTGGGGGCTTTTTGTCAACTTCAGCAATGTCATAAAGCATGTTGTACTTTCCCAGTGCCAGGGGGCCCCGCACTCTGCCCCAGGTATGGCCCTGGAGACAGAAATGTCAGATGGTTGAGCCCAACTAGCCGCCTAGTTCACGGGCGCTGGCTGATTATTATTCAAGAACATTTTTAAAAAAATAAATACCAGCCAAAAACATTCAAATAAACCAAAAAAGAAAAAGGCTCATACACACAAGAAATAATAAATTCTGACTTATGCTGTTTTGGAGAGTACATATTAACTTTAACAAAACCAGAGCAAAAATATTCTGTTTGCCCACGTGTGCCTTCTTGTTTTCTTTTTCCTTTTTATTAAGATGTGATTTGTCGGCACTCCTATTTTTTTTAAACAAGGCTATCCATTCCTGATGGACTCCACCTCCTGGACTCCATCCTTAGTAACAGAGAGGCATAGTTAAATAAGACAAATAAATAAATTAAATAAGATAAATAAGATACCCATGGCTGTAGCCACATCTACCAATACATGCCACATTCTGCACCCATAGACCCCCACATCTCTGCTCAGAGACAAGGGGCCTGTTTCACAGTCCGTCCTCTGGAGCTAAAATTGGTCCATAGGCCAGAATCCTGACCTATGTTTTTTCTTAAATGTTTTTTCCTTTAGGTTATTATGGTCACTGCATGTATTGTTTTCTTGGTTCTGCTTTCTTCTCTCTGAATCAGTTCATACCAGTCCTCTCAAATTTTTCCACCTTTTAAATATGACTTTTTCTTGTGTGTCTTTCTTCTTCTTCTTCTTTTTTTTTTTTTTAAGGCAGTTGGGGTTAACTGACTTGCCCAGGGTCACACAGCTAGTAAGTATCTGAGGCCAGGTTTGAAGGCAGGTCCTCCTGACTCCAGGGCCGGTGCTCTATCCACTGTGCCACCTAGCTACCTTTCATCCTTCGTTTCTCAAAGAGGACCAGTGGCATCACGGAGTGACACCTTGACTTGAGGGTGAATTGGATTTAAGTGAGGCAGAGTTTTGAAATCGTCAGCTTCACTCTCTCTTCCAGAGCCCTGCTCTTGACTTTTGTCCTGCCACTGGACTTTAATCCCATTTTACAGATCAGAGACTATTATAATTATTATTAATTACTCTCAGAGGGGAGAAAGGGCCTTCCCGTAGCTAGTAGGGGCTCTTTCTGCGTCGCCCTGCTACCGACATTTAGGGGTAAACCACAAAACAAGAGAAGCTCCCTCTGCAAAACAGGCCCTGCTTCTAAAGCCACGGGCCACGGCCTTTTTGGATGCTCCAGCCGGGTTGCTTTTGGAAACCTGTGTTTCTCCTCTCCAGCTGAGGCGGGTCCTGCCTTTCCCTGTTTACTGCTGTTCACTGACTATGCAAGGAAGCTGTCCCCTTCCTCCAGCCAAGGAAACAGAGAGAAGAGGACATCGGCCTTCCCTGGCTGCCAGAGGGCCCAGCCCACAGCAGCCTGGAACAATGGTATTGTGTGCTGGCCAGGGGGAACTTGGCTGGAAAGCTGGCCCATGTGAGCTGCACACACTGTTTGCTCTGGCTGGACTCTGCGGCATTCACCCTTAGCCTTTTTTGCCAGAGCCTCACCAAGCCCTCTGAGGGACTCTCTGACCTGGGAGTGGTCTCAGGGCCTCAATGGTCCTA